GTGCCTCGCCCCAGCCAGTGAGCCCTAATCACCCTGGCCAGACGCAGCAAGGGCCTCTGAGGGGCCATGGGCCAGAGGAGGGGGCTGCATCAGCCCCCCCAGAAACGCCACCTCCACAGGGCTGGGCTGGGCAGCACCTCCACAGAGGGACACCTGCTCCCTCCAGGGCGGCAGCACCAGCCAGCAGCACATCTGCCATTCCAAGGACCCATCCCACAGCCCTGGCAGTGACACCCCACTGCAGCAGCACCACTGTGGTGCCCGACATGGGCAGCTGGTCCCACAGGGTCTGCGCAGGCACGGCTGGATGGGGCCTCTCATGACGAGCCCAGAGGGTGTGGAAAAGGAATTTTACACCGTGTCCATTCCGCAGAGGGGACGTACTCTTCCTTCTCCTCCTCTCACTGAGTAAGCAAACTAAATAGGAAGCTGAAAAAGAGAAGGGAATTGCTGCCAGGAGCGCCTTGGAACGAAAAAGCTAGTTTCAGGCTTATCTAATGTCACATCAGCCATTTCCTAAGAAGGGAGCGAATTTAATTAAGAACACAGACTCCCTCAAGGACAGCCAGGTTACAGACAGCACTCCCAACTCGGAGCACAGTGCTGGGAGGTTCACATCACGCACACAGACAGCAAGGACAGACACCCTGAGCCTGACTGCTGGAGGCTCTCTGTTTGGGATCCAGTGCAGACGCCTTCAGGCACAGCACTGCGGCCACAGAGGCAGGCAGAGCAAACAGGGAGGGTAGGGGCAATGTGAGTGGCATGGAGAGGGAAGCAGAAGCAGGTCTCAGACATCAAAACCAGTCCAGGGCAGACACTGGTAGCAGACAGATCCTACACAGAGACTTCGATGGTTGCAGACACAAAGGGAGGCAGTGAGTCCCGGGTGAGCCAGTTGTGGGGACAGACGTGCTGTGGGACTCCTGGCACACACTGTGGCACAGCCTTTGCTTCTGCTGGCCTTGCTCAGTGCTGTCAGTGCACGGCAGCACCATGGCAGAGCTCACAGGGATTGGAGACCACACCTGCCCAGTGTGTCAGTGATTCACCATGAGCGCTGCCAGTGCCTTTCTCCAGCAGAGAAGTGCTGGCACTCAGGAATTCCTCCACAGCATTGCTGTCCCTGGGCACGGACGGGAAGCCTAAGCTTCAGCTGCAGCTCCAGAGAGACGTGCCCAGACCAGGGCAGCACATCCCACCAAGTTGGGGTCAATGGGCTCCTGCTACAAAATGGAAAGTTTCAAATTTTGTAGCCCCTGGACTCCAGCATCTCACCTACACCGAGGATTCCCTGACACTGACATTGGCTGTCAGCAGCAGTGACTCCACTGCTGGGTTGTCCCCAAGGGCAGGGCAGGCTGGACACGCTGCTCAGCACTGGTCGGGGCAGGTGCTGGACCCCCAGAACAACCACACTGGTCTGACCAAAGGTCACTCCAGCCCTGCCCCCAGCCTCCACTATGGAAAAGCGAGCATGACCCTGCCCCAGCACAGCCATCTGGCTTCCCCAGGTCTCACAGGGTCAGCAACTGCACCTGGGCCACGGCTTCCAACAAGTTGGGGACTTTGTTGTCAGCACCAAGAGTCTAAAGCTGAGTCATCCCTTTACCAGCCACAGTGGTACAGAGCTTATCCTGTCACCTCTGCATAAACCCAGGGGCTTCCAGCAGGCTGCATGTGCAAAATTAAAGTAAATGTCTCTGTCCTGAGATGGGCAGTGAGGGCTCCCACGGGCCATGGCCCTGCCAAGTGGAGAAAAGCACTTGTGCTGCTGCTTCCCACCTGGGGGAGGCCCAGCCCTCACCAGCACCGCTGCATTCCCCCAGGGCAGCGAGGAAACATGACTGAAGGGCAGGAATCCGGTACACTTTGTTTCTGATGGAAAAATAAAGATAGATGAAAACACTCAGGCTGCTCTATAAATACATTTCATTTTAATCACCTGAAATTAGTTCCTTGGCATCCCCCAGCCCGTTTGGCAGTAAGTGCATTTCCTTCTGCCATTGAGGGCCTCCACAGCACAGCAGCCACAGCCAGTCCCCTGCTCCTGCCTCACCCCTGGGCACTGCAAGGGGACCGGGGGGCCCAGGCACGTGGCTGGTAGGGGGACGGGGGGCCCTTCGAGGACAAGCTCAACCATCCAGCTGGGACTGCTCCGAGGCTGTCACAGGAAGAGGGACCAGCAGCAGCCCTGGTGTTTCACTACTGGGTGGTCCCTCTCAGAACTGCTTGGAGCAGCTTTAGCCTCTCAAGCACATCAAGAGGAAGAACGGACAGACAGAGGATCTCGGGATATTTCTAAGTCATGTCTTCAGAAGGGTTCGCAGACTCTCCTTGCCCCAAGAAATCCTGAGGATGCAGCTACTTGCAGTCAGGGCGTGAAGCCAGGCCCAGGGAGTGACCCCTGTCAGCGAGACCGAAGACTGCAGCCGGGGAAGGGAAGGGGGCTCCTGTCAGAAGAACTTGACGCCTCGGCCGTCATCCAGCGTGATAATTTCAGCCTTGTGCTCCTGCTGCAAGGCTTGCAGGGCACGGAGCAGCATAGCCTCATCCAAGCCATGGAACTCTAGGGAAGGACCAAGATCCCCATCAATAGGAAAAAAAAAAAATCACATCAGGAAATAAACAGGTTTGCAAGGTCCAGGGACTGGGGGCAGCAGAGGGCTCTGAAGAGCACTGTAACACTACAGCAAATCGAGGGTCACATGGCTACACTGACAGGCTCATCCCTACATCACTGCTTCAGGAACAGAGCCTGAAGGACACCAGACAGCAGGGATGAGTCACAGCAGCCTCTAAGGCAGTGCAGGAGCTTGCCATGAAAACAAAACACCCCTCACCTCACCAGAGAAAGCGCTGGGCACCGGGGAAGTGAAAATGCAATTACAGAGGGACATGTTCCTGCACAGTGTTAAAAGCCTTTGCAGCAGCATGTGCCAGTGATGGGGGGGGGGTTTTGCATGTGAGATTTCAAAATATTTAATCTACAAAACTATAATCTGACAATTGTTTACATGCTCCAATCCAGCGTGCTCTGAAAACCTGCTCTAGACCATGAGACCTGACATTACCTTCACTCTCGGTGTCATCCCCACTGGCCAGTTCATACAGTGTGAACACAGAGTTGGTCAGGCCATTCCTCGACACCTGGAAACAGAAAGGCAACACAGCAAATCTCATCCATGTGGCTGAACATCCTCGTACATCGCAGAGCACAGGACATAAAGCGTGCACAGCACTCAAGGAGAAGGAGCAGCAGCAGCCCGGGGCAACAGGGTCAGAAGTGCAGCCTGAGGGGACGAAGACGGTTCCTCCCCTGCCCCTCGGTTCTTCCTGCACACATTTTGCAGTGAGGACTTGGATCACACACAGTGACACTGTCCTGTCCTCACCAGGGAACAGCCAGTGGCACTGGGGGCAGACAGTGGCACCCACCACTGAACACTGCAGCTCACAGCAAGTGAGAAGCTGCTGATAACCCCAGCCCTCCCTGCAACAGGGGGAAATGGAAACAGAAAGGTAAAAGCAATGAGGAAGCAAGAGGAGAACACTGCAGTGGTCTTTCCCAAATAGCAGCCAGGACCCCCTGTCCTCTCAGACACTGAGCCTGGTCTGGGTGTGCAGCTCTCTCACCCACTGATAGATGAGCTTTCCCCATTCTTCTGGTCTCCTCCACATGATCAGAAAGCTGGTTTTGTTCTTATCTAACCATTCCAGGTTTCCTAAAAACAACAGGGAACAGAGACTGAATCAGAGCACAAGTCAGCAGCAAGGATCAAATGTGCAGATTTCAGGACACATGCCAGACACTGCACCCAGGGGCAGCCTCAGGGTCCAGCCTCCTCCCAGCTGCTCACGCCAACTTCCTAAATATCGCTGTGTCTACAGAAATCGATTTCTCTTTTGAGACCCCTCTTCCTCCTCAGCTAAATCTGCCTGCAACGGCAGGACTGGGTCCCGTGGAGGCATGGGCAGGGATGGCCATAGGAACCAGCCTGGGCTGTGGCACAGCCCAAACCTACGGAATGGGCAGTCCCTGCCCCGGCACGGAGCTGTCCTGAGGGGCGGGCACCGGCTCCGCTCCGGGGCACGGACGGATGGACGGATGGACGGACGAGGCACCCACCGTTCTTGCGGAGCTCCTCCAGCACCACCTGGATGGATTCCAGCGGCAGCTTCCCTGGGCGCGGGTTAAGGAGGCGCTGACGGAGGCGGGGTCGGGGGGTGGGGGCGACGGGGGCGCGGGCACCGGGCCCAAAGGATACGCTGGAGGCGGTTGTTGGCGAAGAGCGGGATGTCCTGCGCCTCCCGCACCGTCATGGCGGGCAGGCGGTGCCGCCGGCTGTACGCCAGCGCCAGCGCGCACCAGGCCGACAGCTGCTTCTGCCTCGTCTCGCCGTTGGGCTGCAGCCTGCGGGGGGTCGCGTCAGCGCGGGGCCGCCGAGGCACCGGCAGCCCCCCCGGGCCCGGTGCCCCCGGTGGCCCGCGTCCCCCGCCCTGATCCCCCCGGCCCTGACCCAGCCCCACGCCCAGTCCCGCGCCGTGCCCGCCCGCGCTCACGTGAAGAAGGGCGGGAAGCTGTACTGCCAGGGCCACGCGAAGCTCATCGCCTCCGCCTCCGCCATCGGAACCGCCGCCGCCTTCCGCCCCGGCCCGGCCCGGCCCGGCCCGCTTCCGGCGCGGCCGCGGCGCCCCGCCCACTCCGCCGAGGCCCCTCCTCTCCCCATCGAGACCCCGCCCCTCCACGCCGAGGCCCCGCCCTCCCTGCAGGGTCCCGCCCCGCAGCCCCGCCCCCTCCGAGCCTCGCCCCTCCCGGACGGGGTGGCCCCGCCCTGTTCCCGGTCCCGATGTTCCCGGTCCCGATGTTCCCGGTCCCGGTGTCCCACGAGGCACGTTCCCCACGGCAAGAAGCTGCCGGCGTGCCCATGCCGGGGCGGGGTTGGCGGCGGGAGTGGGCCCGCGGCGGGACCGAACGACGGAAGAACCAGAGCCAGGCGTGGGGGGAGAAGCGTTTAATCCCGGGCCGCGGCGCGGGGGAAGGCAGGAACCGGCCGCCCCAGCAGCGCGGGGCGGTGGCCCCGGGAGCCCACGGGACGGCTCGGGTGGCCGGGGGTCCGTGCCCTGCCGCGGGACGGGGTGGCAGCGCTAGGCCTGTGCCTTGCCGTCCTTGCTGCGCCAGATGACCAGGGTGACGAGGAAGGGGATGAGGCAGATGGGGGCGATGATCATGGCCAGCAGCACGTCCTCGGGCGGGTCGACGTACACCGGGGACTCCAGGGTGCAGTTGTGGAAGTAGCGGTAGTGGCTCTGAAAGATGTACTGCTCCGCCAGTGCGTTGGGGTAGCTGTAGTTCAGGCGGTCGGCCCAGAGCTCCAGGCACAACTGCAGGTCGTTGTAGGGCCTGGAGAGACAGCCGGGGCACTGGCAGGGGACAGGGCACAGACCCCGGGGCCATCCCCAGCCCAGCAGCACCCCTCTGGACTGCCCAGCCCCCGTGCCCTGCTGCCAGAGGGGAAGGTCCCACCACCCCATACCTCCTGATGACTTTCCACTCGCACAACTCCGATGCTGTCACATTCCTCATCAGGTAGACGAAGTAATCCCAGCACTTCTGTGTGATGTCGGAGTAATTTCCCTCTGTGGGGAAAGGTGCTGAGCGTGGGCAGCACGCCCTTTCCATAGCACATCCCTGCCTGCCCCTGCTGCCAGGTGACACCCAGGCCAGTGGGAGAGACACTGGCAAGATGGGGGAGAGACCCTGCAGCAGCCCTGGGGTGCTGCCCAGACTCCACAGCAGTCCCAGGGCAATGCCACGAGCACAGTGGAAGGGCAGGTTGCTGCTGGCTGACACAGGCCAGCTATTTTGGGGATAGCCAGGGGAAAGGGGGAGGATAACTCTATGGTGCAGAGCCAGCCCTGGCCAGGGCACCATTTGGCCCAGGGGGCTGCCCAGCCCTTGCTGAGCCCCAGCACTCACCCATGGGCTGGGCTGTCCCGTTGGACATGGCCATGGGTGAGCTTGTCCCGGCATCCTGGCCAAAGCCCTTTGTCTCGGCGTCCGTGTGGCAGAGCCCAGTCCCCAGGAGCACTGCAGAAGGGGGGACACAGGGTGAGGAACGACACAGGGTGAGGAACAACACAGGGTCATGGGGGGCAGGTGCTGGTAGGGCTGCACGCACGGGAGCTGCCCCAGCAGAGGCTGGGTCTGCAGCAGCAGGAAACTGGTTCTGAGTGTCCCTTGGGGGCCACTGGAGCCAGCAGTTGGGGCACAGGACGGTGAGCTGCCCCAGTCCTGGCACATGCTGGGGCCACGGTGTCCAGACTCCCAGATGGGCAGAGACTGTGCAGAGAGGTCCAGCCAGGCTGTGGGCAGCTGCTGAAGGGCTCAGAGGAGCTCTCTGGTGGCAGTGGGCCCTGGGCTGTGGTCACAGCACAGGGGTGAGCCATGACCACTGCCCAGCGCAGGCACCGCCCTATTGCCCTGGGTGGCTGCATTGCAGCTGGACGGGGCTGAGGCAGGAAGAGGAAGCGCTGGACACAGTACGGCACTGCCGGAGAGCCCCTCCGCCTGCCATCAGTCCCACGCCCAGCACAGCCTGCCAAGGGCGTGGGGCACATCTCGCCTGCCCCACAGGGCCCCATGGCCCAAGGAAACCACCTCATCCATCTTCCACCACTGGCTGAGGGCCCATGGTGTGGGGCAGCAATGCTGGTGGGCCCCAGTGGAGCCTGCCTAAGCCATTCATGGGGAGCTCTGGGACAGCCAGGCACTGGCCACGGGGTGCTCCTGGGCTGGTACAGTGGCTGAGGAAAGGGCAGCCCACCCTGTCCCAATGTCTATCCCCGATGGTCTCATCCAGCCCCTCTGCTGGGGCACGTGTGGTGCTGCGGCTCCTGTCGCAGCTCAGGGCTTTGCAGGGCTCCCTGCTAGATCGGGGACTAGTGTGGTGGGGGCTGCCCCCAGCACCCACCTGCCACTGACCCCTGGCTGTGCTGTCGATGGCTGTCCCAGCCACCCTCAGGCTGGTCCCATGCCGGGGTAGGTGGTGGGTCAGGCTGAGCCGAGACCCCGACCGTGGGCCCCACGAGCAGGAGGGCGGCCGCATGCGGGGTGGTGCGAGGTGCGGAGCCCCCGGGGCCGCCCCCCCACGCACTTACCCCAGAGCAGCAGGAGCCCTTGGGAGAGGTGGCCGGAGCTTGTGTGCGCGCGCGGTGCCATCCTGCCAAAGCCTGCCGGCTAACGACCGGGACAAGGATTTCAATGGAAATAACAGGAAGCAACTCCTTTCCTCTGACAGGGGCAGTTTGACTACAGGAGACGTGTGAAAAATGAGATTGCTCAGCGCTGCTCTGAAGCGGCTCTGCCGGCGGGACTCTGCCGTGCCGCGCGGTGCCGGCCCCCGCGGGCATTGCTCCGGCGCCCCAGCACCCCCGACACCCGTGCCTCACCCACTGGCCCGGAGGCTCTGCTCCCCGCACAGCACGTCCAGCCTTACGAGGCTGCGATTTGTTTACTTGTGTATTTCTCTTTAATCCTGTCTGGGCTGGGTTGTGAAATCCCTCGTCTCCTGCGTGGAGGGCAGGCAGCCCAGCAGCGGGGGGAGTGGACGGGGAAGCACAATGTCCCCGGACGGGCGCTGCTGCCCAGGGATGGGGGAGGCAGGGGGACCAATGGCCCCAAAATCTGCCCCACGGGCGGCACAGCTGGGGCAGCTCCAGCCCCTGCCCAGGCCCGTGGCCGAGGAGGGAAGGGTGATGACGCGACCTGCCCACAGGCACAAGGCCGAGGAGGTGGGGAGAGGGCAGAGACTTGGCCGACCCTGACAGTCCTTGGCCCCAACGCCTTCCTCCTGCACCGCCCAGCCCAGTGCCTGCCCAGCTCTGCTGGAGCCCCCTGTTCCTGGAGCAGTTCCCGCCCAGGGGCCCATGTCCCCCGACTGAGAGTGACCCCAGCCCATGGGTCCGCAGCATTCCCTCACAGGACCGGGCTGAGGCCAGGTGAGCTCGTTTCACCCCTGGCCAGGGGCAGAGTGCAGCTCAAAACCTCCCCTTTAACAGCCACCTGTAGACGTGCAGAGTGGGGACTGGATTGCAGTGAAGCACAGCTCAGAGGGACCCTGCCTGCTGTGGAAAGATGATTACTCCAGTCTTTAGCTCCCCAACAAAGGTTCTGGCAGAGCTGCCTGATGCTCCCCAGGTCACAGCAGCCATCACTCCAGGGCACCACGGGACCTTCTGCAGACGAGTGGCCACATCTGGAAGCTATCCCTGGCACTCCGGTGGCCACAGGGCTGTAGCCCCCCAGTTCCACTCTCTGGTGGAGCCAGCAGAGCCTCTGTCTGGGTGGCAGGAGCCTCTGCCAGGGAGACACCCAATGATCTCAGCACAGCCCCGGGGCGAGGATGGCCACCTCCCTCCTGGGGCATCCGGAGGGGATGGGCAGGGACAGGACAGGCAGGGATGGGATGGTGGCTGCTAGCCAAAGGCCTGGGCCCCCCACCCAGCCTGGCATCCCCGGTGCTCCCGGCCAAGCCCCACCCAGAGTGCCAAAGAAGGGGCTCGGCCCGTGTAGGGTCAAGATCCTGGTGCCTGGGACTCTTCTCCAGTGCTTCCCCTGCTCAGGGCAAATGCAGGCATCCCCTATTGCTATGGAACCAGCTCCAACTGCAGGGACTCCCCGCCCTGCCTGACTCAGCGGAGCTCCCAAATGCGGGCGGGATGCGGGAACTGCTCATCCCTCCCCTCGGAGTCACCCCCCCAGGGTCAGCGGGGAGAGGCGCCCCGAGGCAGCCGGCGCTCCGCACCGCGGCGGGGGGATGGACGGGGCCCCCGCCGGGGCAGGAGCCAACACCGCCCGCTCCCCACCGCCGGGGCCACCGGGTCAGGAAGGGCCGCCGCCAGCAGCCGCTTCCTGCCCGGCGCCGCCACGGGGAGCCAGAGGGGCCCGGGACTGCCGGGGCGACTCGTCGAGGCCAGGCTGCCCCGGGGCGGGACCGGCGCTGTCCCGGCAAGCGCTTCCTGCGGGACCGGACCGGGCCCGCAACAGAGGCGGGGCCGGGCGCACCGAGCATGGGCGGGCACCGGGGCGGGATGGGCAGCGGGCTCAGACCCGCCGGGCTCGGCCCGTCCCCCGCATCCCGTGGGGGTGTTCGCCGGGCTGGCACGGGTCCGCTCCGCCGGGGGAGCCCCGCGCGCTCCGAGCCCGCCGGAACCGCCGGGAACAGCGGGACCACCGGCGGCGGCGGGGCGGGGGCGTGGCCGCGATGCGGGGGCGTGACCTGCGGCGGGACAGGGGCGTGGCCGCAAAGCGGGGGGCGGGGGAATACGCGAGACCGGAGGCGGGGCCTGGGGCCGAGCGGGGCGGGGCCTGGGACCGGGTGGGGCGGGGCCTGGGGCCGGGCGGGGCGGGGCCGGCGCGCGCGCAGTGCCGCGGGGGCGCGCGGCCTCCCCGTGTCGCGATGGCCGAGCAGTGAGTGCGGGCGGGGCCGGGGGGTCCCGGGAGGGGAGCGGGGTCCCGTAGTACCGGCTGGGACCCCGGGCGGCTTTGGGGTCTGGCCCCGCTCCCCGGTCCGCCGGCGCCGCCGGCCCCGGCTCGCTCCGTTGCGTGTTCCCGGAGCGCACGGGCCCGGCCGGAGCGGCGCGGGAGCGGCTGGAGCTGGACCCGCGGCTCTCCGGCGTCATGTCCCGGAGGGGAGTCGGGGACCCCAGCAACGCCCCGGGGTCAGGCGCTGCCCCGGGGGCTCGCGGGGCAGGAGCGGCCGTTCCCGGTCAGCGCCGCCCCTCGCTGCTGTCCCGGGCCTGTTCGTGCGCCTCGGCCGCGGGTGTTCCGCAGGCAGGAGCGCTGCAGACCGACCGGGCCGTCATTTTGCCTGGTCCGAGTCTATGATGCATTTAAAATCCACGGGGATGTTTTTCTAATATCACTTGTTTCCGGGATTGAGCTCTCCGTTATTTGATGTTTGTTCTTTCTGCACTGTTATAGAAAAATGGAAATTGCCACTCCTCCGACGTCGAAGTGCATCATGTACTGGAAGAGGAAGGTCAAGTCCGAGTACATGCGTCTGCGGCAGCTCAAGAGGTTCCAGGCGAACATGGGAGCGAAGGTACGGACATGGCAAGGGCTGGGCTGGGGCATCCCTGAAACGCTTCCCTTCAGCTCAGAGAGTCCAGGCAGTGCCAGGGGGTGTCAGCCCGTGGATTGATAAGCTGTTTTTGACTTGCAAGCTAGATCAGTGGGAACAGATGCTGCTTCTCCCTGTGCTCTGTCCTTGGTGTCGGGCCATGCAGGCGATGGCTCGCACACAAAAGGCTGTTGGATGAGCCCAAGAGGGCTTGTTTCCACTTGGTTTTTACAGTATCTCCCTGCTGAACCCTCTCAGTGCTGTGGGTTTCAGATGACTCTCTTGGCAGCAGGATTTCAGAGGGGCTCATCTGGGATCAGGAGTTACCCTAAGCTCCCTGGCTGTTGGATGGATTCTCAGCACAGTTTTGTACCAATGATGAGTTTAATTAGAATTCATTCTAATGAGTATCACCAGTCTGAAACGCTCAGCCTTGTTTGTGTTTTGATGCTCAAAACAGAATCTCAGGAAGAATTTTAGTGTTCTCAACGGGATTTCTTAAATTTTGAGAGCTACTTTCTCTCCTTTCAGGCTCTTTTTGTGGCTAACTTTGCAAAGGTTCATGAAAAGACTCAAATCCTGAATGAAGACTGGAAGAAGCTGCGAGTGCAGCCCGTGCAGTTGATGAAGCCAGTCAGTGGGCACCCGTTCCTGAAGCAGGTGTGCAGTGGAAAAGGAGCACAGCAGCAGCAAGTGGGGACTGGAACCAGGGCTCTGCAGGGAGCTGTGGGGATATGGGATGAGGTTTTGCTGTCCTAGGTCAGTGTCAGGCTGTGCCTCACACTTCTGGGATGCAGAAATGGGCAAAAAGTACTCCAAGGGCTTTTTCCTGTGAAGGAGTCACAGAGTGGATGTGGGGCTTCCATGTGTTTGTCCTGAATTCTGTTTTCTCTCAGGCTGTGGCAGCCTCCCAGGGCGGTTCCTCACTGCCCTTCTGTACTTGTATTCCAGTGCACTGTTGAGAGCATTTTCCCAGGATTTTCAAGCCAGACACTGTACATGAGGACCCTGAACACGGTGGCACTAGTTCCCATTATGTACTCCTGGTCCCCTCTTCAGCAGAATTTCATGGTATGTGGCAGGGTCTTGGTGTGGTTGGTGTGTGATTGTTACCCAGCTGGGAAGTGGTTCTTCAACCCACTTGTTTCAGGCGATATGTGCTCGAGAGATGATGCAAAGTGTTGTTTTAGATGCTTGTTTTGTGGCATCCCATAATCCAGCCATGTGTCCACGCTGTCTCACCCAGGTAGCCTTTACACATGACTCTTTGGCAGGGTCAAGGAGTTGCTTCACAGGGTTCAAGGAGTAAATATGTTTTTGGGGGTCTTGCTTTGTTTGGGTTTTTTCCTAGGATTTTTATGTCCTTTTAAACAGAGAATTTTATTTCTTAGGCAGGTCCTTTCCTTTGTGACTGGGTGACAGTGGGATAGCACTGACATGTCAGGGATGAGACACCTGAACTTCTGCTGGTCCCCGTGTTGTTGACGGGTGTGAGGAACCGGAGCAGCCTTGGCCACAGCCTCGCTGGCATCAGCAAACGCTGCTTTTCTGACTTGTGTCTGATCTCTCTTCAGGTGGAGGATGAAACAGTTCTGTGCAATATCCCTTACATGGGTGATGAGGTGAAGGAAGAAGATGAAACCTTCATTGAAGAGCTTATTAATAACTATGATGGGAAAGTTCATGGAGAAGAAGGTAACCTGGGAGCAGCCAGCTCTCTCCCTTCAAGGCCAGGTTGGATGGGACGTGGAGCAACCTGATCTAGTGCCCTGTTCATGGCAAGAGGTGGAATGAGAGGAGCTTTAAGGTCCTGTCCAGCCCAACCCATCCTATGGTTTTATGATTCAGTCTCTTGCAAATAACATATCTAAGTAGTTCAGAAGTCAAAAGGTGGCAGCAGTAACCAGGTTTTCTGTGGGAGCTCTCAGAGCAGGGAAACAGGACTGTGCCTGCTGTTCTCCTTTGCAAGGACACAGTCCTGCCTTTCAATACCCTGCTCCATTCTAGGCCTGAGGTGCTCTGGAGCAGATGCTTCTGTGCACAGGGATTCACAGGCTCCTCTGGGATGCTGAAAATGTGCAAGGGGGTGGGAGGAACTCAACAACTCTGTTCTGCTTGAGACTTTAGCCAAGAGTTTAATCAATGAAAAGCCAGTGTATTCCCCTGCAGCACTGCCTGCCCCATCAGAAAACTGCCTGGGGGGAGAAAGGCAGGGAAAACTCTGATGTGGCCTGTCCCCACGTTGCTGAAAACGATAAAACACTCCCGACAAAACTGAGAGAAGGGCTCGGCTGGTAGCAGTGATGTGGCTGGCTTGTGGTTTGCCATGACAAGGAGTGAGAAAGACGGTGGCAGTCCCACATCTCTGTGTTTCAGAAATGATCTCAGGGTCAGTCCTCATCAGCGATGCCGTGTTCCTGGAGCTGGTGAACGCCCTGAATCAGTAC